AGCGATCTGCGAACGTTCGACTCCACGATGGAGGTGGATTTGTTACAAATATGTAAGATGCTTGGACGAACGAAACGCTCGACGCGATTCACCTTGTATTATTAACGCTAGTCTCACGTTCGTAGGTTGCTAACATCGAATTTGTTTGTTAGCTACCGACCGTGTCCGCGTCAGCTTAATCTACATCCGTTGCGTCTCTACGTTAACCCTTTTCTTCCGTTTCCCGACGCGACGCGATGTGAAAGATAATCGAGAGCGTCGACTATTTACGTATACGTGTTATAGGTGTGAACTATGTTACGTATGATAATTGTACCTGACGGTCACACGTTTTGTTGATTTTCCGTTTATCAATAAATTATCGCATTATCAACATCGATCTGCATAATCGGGTTTGATTCACAAACAATATCTGGAAGGCGATTCGATTGTTACAAAGGTTTCGACTCGGTACGCGTTGCTCATCTTCGTTTCGTTGCACGAATAAACGGCAATCGATTATATACACGCCCACCGGATAATTTATCGCGAGGAGTACGCCTGAAGAATAGCCGCAGGGTTAAAGCTGCCGAAACGGTACTTGTTTTCGATTTATCGCCACTAATGATCCTTAATTCTCGCCCTTGACTTGGTATCGCGATCGATTCTTTGAACCATCTCCGACCAATTAACCAACCAACCAATCGTCCGATACCCTTCCTTTTTCCACTGTAATTACGTAGTATTACAAACGACGAGTAACAATCTTTCATTGTCTTGGATACACCTTCTGTTACCCTGGTTACCCGGTTTGCCGGGTAGCTCGACCGAGTTTTCGAAAGAGGAAAATATTAGTCGTAAGGGATGGTAAGACGAGGTTACGGGGAGCTACGAGGTGAAGGGGTAAAGAAAAGATAGGCGGTGGCGAGATTGAAGTGCGGCGAAGGGAAAGAAGCTGAAAAGAAGTTGATAGGAGCAAGAGAAGGATGAGGTCGGGGTGCACCGAAAGCACGAATTTAAGGTTAATTTATGGCGTAATTTAGTATCAATGTCGGTAACATAAATCTCCGACGGAGGACAGGGGTCCGGGCCCGCGTCGTGGACGTGCGTACCGAGAAAAAAGTCGATGAAATAAAGTTACCGGCACACCGGTATCTCTCTTCTCCGCACCGTCTCTCTGTTTCCTCCTTTTCTCCTTTTGTTTCCCATTTTCTCTTTCCTTCTCTCGTTTCCCTCTTAATGATTCGATTTTGCTCAACTTTGTCACCACAGTGTCAACAGCTCATTCCTTTTGATTCAATTTGGTTGCAAAGTAACCATCATGCATCTGGAAATTATATGTTGCAACGAAAAGGAGAACGGGGTTGAGATATCAGCAAATTTCAACCAAGATTAAGTGATCTTAGTTCAAGGAAGTGTGTTTTCTGACAAGCTGAAAAATTGCACCATCGGCAAGAAAAATATCCTTGCAACAAAGTTACCGGAGGAAGAAGCCGGGTACCGGTTCGCACTTACGTCTTTCTTTCCCTTTTTCTGTTCATTCGAATAGAAACCAGCAAACGAAGGGAATGAAAAGAACTGAAGGTTCGGCCTCGTAGGGTTGCTACCTTCGAGACACCTCAATCGATCTACAGTTCAGTTTTTCCATTTCTTACAGAGTTCTACACCTAATTACAAGGTTGCGAAGCAATTTGTTTCAGCCGTGCTACCTTAACTGTTTCTCATCGGTCAAATTTTTGTTTTCGTAAAGAAAAATAAGACAAGGAACTTTTGGCAAGGGTTTGCAATTTTCTAGGCGAGGTGTTCGGTAGACGAAAGGTAATTTAGACAAGTATCGTGTCGGGTTTGAGCAGAAAAGAACTTTGTCAAAGACAGCGCAAGGGAGGGAAAAAACGCGTAATAGCATCGCGTATCCAACGCGAGGTTAGTCGAAGACTCGCGTGAAAAGTGGGTCGCTCGACTTGGCTCAAAGTGACATCGTAAAATTAAGAGGACCGATCGTCGCATCGGTTCTGTTCGTCGAACAGACTGCCAGGCTGCCGCATGTGTTTTACTCGGGACCCAAATGCAAGAGATGCGGAACGTGAGAAAAATTTCAAGCCTTAACGCGTTGACTCGCAGATAGAGAAGCAGCACGACGAGAAGGTCATACCCGTCAACCTTAATGAAAGTTAAACGCACGGGGATGGGTTCGCGTCATTATCTTACCGTTAGCGGTCCTCGCGCGACTATCAGCGACGATGCCCGGGGAAGGAACGGCAATTCAACGGGGAAAAATTCCTCCCCCTTCTTTCTTCCTCTTTATCGTTTTCTTTCTCTTTCTTTCGTCGTTGCTCGATTAACGATCGAGTCTTCAACGTCAACGTTCACATTTTTCTTATCTCTCGTAGGTACCTGCAAACTTTCGCACAATACTTTTTCGCGCCGCGCGAAACTTCGTGCGGTGTAATTATTAAAATATTTTTAAGTAATTTTATAAACACTATTCGGATCGATAATAGAAAAAACTAGAAACGTTGCGATTCTAAGAGTAACCTTCGATTGGAACGTAGCAGCAATATGTTAAAGATTGTCAACTTGCACGCTTAGCGAGAAACTCATCGAGCGAGGAACTAAATCTAGAGAAGGTTATATTTATTTGTAGGGGAATCGGGGGAAAAAGTTGTCGGGCCATTTGCGGCCGATCGAACGATCGCGTCGATACATCCTGTTGCATTATAGTTCGATCGATCCTACGCACCCTTTGCTTCGTACTCGCAGAACAACAACGTCAATTAGGTAGTTCGTTCTGTTCCGATCCTTGTCTCTGACAATAAGACTTTTTCATCTTCCGGCGAACAACGCGATGCGATTCATTTACGTGCACCGAAAGAAATTTTGGATGCAAATCGCCTTCCGTTACGTTGCATCGTAAGTCCTCGTCTCGTCGCGATACGGTGCGGGTTTCAATGTAGAACGTGGTGATCGTCTACGGGAAGCGCAGGCCTCATTGCACCACTGTGGAAACTAGAAACCGGTCGTAAAAACTAACCCAATATCGGCGTCCTCGAAGCTGCCTCTCCACCGTTTCGTCTTGCTTCGGTTCTGGTACCTGGAACCCACGCATCTGGCATCTAACTCGGCCTTCTTCTTACGCCAACAACTCGTTCTCGTAGCGAAATCGAGAAAAAAAGTGACGGAAGTTGGAAGGAAGCTCGATTTTCAAGATAAGTTCTGATATTGCGGAATTTTCATCAACTTGTCTACGATCTTTTAAATGAACATTTCAGCAACTTCTCGATTCGTCGTCTAATCGTCTAATTGGAATCGGACATTATGGAAATCGCGGCAGGGGGCACGGAAGCGTGTCGGCAGACGAGCGAGACGGTTCAGATCGGCGAGCTCGTGGAAAGAAACGAAATGGTACGTGAGTTCCAGAAACACACTGACGACTCGTCGTTTCCTCGTATCGATGGATCGGCGAGTGGCAGTAGGCTTCGCATCACCGTCCCTTGTCCGGTATGCGAAACGCTTCCTGTCAAGCGAATACCATCCGATTCTTTCTCTTGTACGCGTAGCCTAGTCTCGCCAGTTTACAGACCAGGCTTGTTACGCCCCTCCCTCCTCTTGCCCAACCCTCTTTCTCAACTTTTGCGCGCACCACTCTATGGATCGCATCGTGGCGAAAAAAATCGGTCAAACAATATCGCGCGATTCGTTGCTCGCTATAAATCACCGGTTGAAAGGTCGCGATTGGGAACCGATCGATCGGTTGATCGGAATGGAATACGTTGGACGCGTAGAAGCGAAGCGTCAACCGCGATCGTCGATACGTGATGGCACGCGACCGGCCCCTTTCTTTCTTTCTTCCTTTCTTCCCGTTTGATTCTTTTCGAATTTCCTCGCACAGCAAACCAAAATTCACGATACCGATCCATGGATAAGGAGATTGTTCCGATCTATCGACCGTTACCGATTCTTATCATTGTTATCTAAGCTAATTTGCACCGATTTTTCGAAGCGGTGAAAGTGGAATGTAAATGATATCCTGGTCGAAGGGAGCGAGATTCGAAGAATAGTTTGAGTCGGTCGCGAAAAGAATATTAAACAGAGTCGATCGGTTGGTTCGTTAGCTCGGCAGTTGACTGGCACGTAGGTACCGGATATGAGAAGAAAGTTAGTCGCCGATTTGAACGGAGACGAAAGTGTTGCTTGGGTTCCGGGTACGACGACCCATTGTCGAGTTTTGCATAGAATCGATCGAGAGCAAAATATAATCGATCAAGTTTCCGTGAACAGGCGCCGCTAAGAAGTCTCCACTCCTTTTCGAATCGAATCGAATTTCGTGCGATCCTTGTCGTCGGGATGACTACCGAAATTAAACGTTACGAAACTCGTTCGGCAAGAGTTGAAACATCGGATAAAACCCATTAACTTGGTCAGTGTACGTACAACGATGTACGTACACCACGTCGATAGGGTCAGCCTCGTCGAAAACATTGCTTCGGGCTGTCAGTACCGATCGGCATACTAATTTCCATGCAGCTACAAAATACTGGACCATCGTACAGCGGCGCGATGGCGGTGACGGCGCGGCGGCCGCCGCAATGAACTCTCAAGTTCGTTACAGATCTCGCTGTTTCAGGGGTTGCTCTACCAACCCGGACGAAAACAGTCAATTGTATTTATTGTACTTGCATTATCGTACTTGCATTCCCATGGTTGTTGCAAATACTACATAGGTAATCGGTTGCCACTTTGTTTTACTAAAAATTAGAGAATTAGTTCTGGCTAAACAAACTTTAGAGACGTGTGTTTTAAAAAGCAATTCGTGCTTCCATCTCGCGGTACTGATCGTACAATTGTACCACACCTTTTTTTTACTATGACCAATTCAAAAAATAGAGAAATTAAAAAAAAATGAGCTATAATTCTGCGTATAAATTTTTATCTGACCAATTCTTCATTCGCTGTTTATATTTGTAAAATGTTTATTATCAATTTAGTGGTATTGGAAAGGGAAGGAATGAAAAGACCAAGAATATGATCCGTATTGTTACCGTTTATTAGTGCGTTATTACATGCGTAACGATGATCGTAAACTGATATATCAAAATGATTAATCGATACGGATATATGGTACGAAACGTAACTATACAAATATATTTATATCACAGTCGTAGACAAAGAAATGAACGTTAATTGATATCAAGGTTATTTCGCGTACACTTAATTTTATTGGAAATCACCAGAAAGCACGGCCGATCTCGAGCAAACGTATCGGCGCTAATTTTATCTCCAAACGCGAAAAATGTGATTTTTCTTCATTTTTTTATACGATACATTAGCAACGTTCGATCCGTCTCGTCTATCGCCACGACTCGATAACGTCGTAGAAATAGAATAAAATTTCAACTTTTTTTTATTTTCTTACTATTCTAATCTTTTTTTTTTAAACATTGATTTTACGCTTGTTAAATTCAACAGGTTCAACATGGGGAGGTAAAAATATAAACACACGCGATATCGGAAAATGGCGTATCGAGAAACGACCAACATCGAATAACGAGCAAACCAATTAGTTCAAAGGCTATTATCGTTAGGACAATTTACATTAAAATCGCTCTTTTAAAGCGTAGGATGGTAAAACCAGTCTTGCCGCGTTTGTCGTTCGCGAAACCTTATGTATACAGGGCTATCGAACAATAATCTGTTGAAGACAATTACAATATTGCTTTTTCCGATGTGTCGAGCGATGCTGATTACATAGTTGGCGGATCGCGATCAAGACACATGGATCAAGTGGATCGACCCCTTTCCACAAGGTCGTTTTCCGGTTGCACAGAATTTAAGAACGAACAACGATAAGCTATTCCCGACATACGACCGCAAGATCGCAAGATTAACATTCGCAATGGATAGGAAGAAAAATTGGAATACTTGGTTCAAAGATTCTACCGAGTAACCGTTGCCACATTCGTGTCAAAGAATTAATTATGTTTCCTACGGAAAGGTACCACAATTATTCTAGATCTCCTTCTTTGGACTTTAGATGTTTGTACGTTTGCGGCATATTCGCGTTAAGCGGAAAAAACATTTCGGATATCTCTTCTATTCTCATTTGTACGACTGGATGGGTATTAATCATTTGCACTCTGGATAAAGTTATTGTAGGTAATAGTTTGAAAATAATTTATTCGAGATAAAATACCCGTGAATTTAGTTGTCGAGCGGTATTTAGGAAAGTTATAGAGCAAACGGTTAATACCCTTTCTATCACTTCTAGTGAAGGCTAGGCAAATAGCTTCGTTTTCTTATCGATAACGAGTTTCAAAACGAGTTTCCAACAATTATCTGTGGATTAGCTGTGAATTTGTTAAATGGACACGTACTATCGAACAACTAGAGCAAACTTTGAAGATCAACTACGATACCGATTATTCTGAATTTGAAACATTCAAAAGTGGACTTGTATCGATTATCGAGTTTTTCTGATAACGCGATAGCTGTTGACTCCTTTATTTTTTATTTTCAACTCTCACAATCAGAATGAAATCTTTTGTGCCTTCGAAACATCGTTTATCATTTTCTTTCTTTTTCGATAAAAATAGCCCATAATTTGGAACGTCTATAGCTTATCGATAAAAGACGCCTCGCACTTGTACTGTTTGTTAAAAGTTCGGCAACCTTTTGCACTACTCTACTACAGTTACACTTTGATTCTTTCATTTAGACATTGAGAAACAAACGTGGCCTGTACGTCGACTACTCTTCCGACGACTGCTTTAAACTGTACAGTGACGAAACATTCTCCTTAGAGCTCGAATTTCATTATTATTTCCTTTGCTGTTCGACAATTCGATAATTGCCATCGATTTGAAAGGATAATGGTGTGTCAAGTTTTAGTTCTCTCTCAATGAAACGAAGAGTATCGACTTGACACGAACGATCCGTTTCTCTCTTATTCGTGCACACAACTGTTTGAAATGATTCTTCTTAACAGCAGAGTATGATCGGCAATGCTGAACAGCAATTGCGAGCTCTATAGATTGAATTTATCTAAAAACACAGCAGAAATGCTGTTGAGACGAAGGAAGGTCCAGGAGGAATTACGAATCTGGACGTTGGTCTGACTTCTCCTTTTCTCAGAAGTTCGCTTCCAGAGAATTTTCCAGCTCGTTCAAAGGTGGCACCAAGGTTTGAAGCGAGAAATATCGCGATCGGTCAGCAGCATCGACGCTGGTTACGTGTTGAAATTGACACGGTTGGCTGATGTTGCTCTTCGCTGGTAAAACCACCTTCTTCGGTACTGGCTTCTTCTTCTTCTTTCCGGGCACCGAAAGGCTGATATTCTCCGGGCAGGAGACGAGTCGTTCTATGTGTTGCCAAAGATCGTTCGCTGCTTTAGGATTATCGAAACTGAGGCCAGCCAGGCGCGTGTGATCGGAAGAAAGACACATCGTGTGAAAAGCCGGTCCTGATACCTGAAACACGCTTTACCTTTAAATAACTTTCAAACCAACTATTTCTTCTTCATTTCTTATCGACGATACGAGCTTAGCGATTGCGTATGTACAATCGGTTTACCTTGTACGACGACAAATTATCAATAGTCTCCCTCCATAAGGTGAAACAAGTGCCACGCTCGGCCAGCAGAATTTGAATCCGTCTCTTTGATCTCGATCGTGTTTCTCCGAGATCCAATACCACCACCGGTATTCCAGTGAATCGAAGTTCCCATCTTTCAGTCTGCGATGCGTTCCCCAGGTATAAATTTGCCAAAGATTCGCAGACAAACACCTGTCGTTAAGAAACCAAATTTTATGCATATAAAAGTAAAACTTTCAGGATATTGTCAGGAGAATTTCAGTTGAAAAGTTCTGGAAGATCGAAAAGAATACGAGAGAAGGAGACGAGTTGCGAAGCAGCCCCGTTTACCTGAGATTTTAAGCCCCGGAAAAATGTTTCGAGCTGCTCCCTCTCCATTTGGCTAACCGGTTCCAGACGAGATTCGTCGCTGTTTTCGGAACTGTCGCTACCCTCGTAGCTGGACGTGGCCGAGGTATCCGCTTCACCTGTCGACGACAACCTCCTCCTGGCGGCTCCGCTGTACTCGTTATAGTAGGAGGAGCTGTGCAGCGAAAGATTCGACTGCAACGCAGGGCAGGACGATGCGTATACTGGTGCGTTCATTTTCTTCTGTAAGCAAAATTTTGATTCGTGATCGAGATTATTTTCGTCATAACATAATTTTATTCGTTTCAACATCAGATAGCATCGAGAGAGAAAATTCTGATCCTTTCGCGAGCTACCGCGAAAGCCCATCGATTTCCTCGAACCGAACCCCGTGCCCTGGAGTCATGGTATCGTTCTATAAATAATCGTGACCTCTTTATCGGATGCTGCCCTCTGATAACAGCAAAATTTTCGGTTTTCGATTTTCGTTATCTTAAGTTATGTCGCTTCGGTAAACGGTTCGGTTTAGAAGTAGCGCGGAAAACGCATGATACGAGACGAGAGTCGGGAGAGAGAATCATTTGTATTCAACCACGACCCAGAACGTTTCAGTAGTTCCTTTCGTTTCCCTTTTTCGCGACCGGGTCGAGCAGAGAGGTGAAGAAAAAAAAAATGGGTCGTTGGCTGGCGGATACGGTGACGCAAGGGACGCCAGCGGCAGCGCGGCTAAAGCTAATCGGCCAATGGCGTTTTAGTCGACCCACTTAATCGAGGCGAGAAAAGTCCCACTCTCGTTCGACCTTAATTCGATCACGACACAACGCGACGCCTTTAACGAGCTACTCGTCTGGCTAATTGTCCGGTCCATACGTTGCACCGTCTCTCATCGAGGAATTTCACGTTCGATTGGCTTCGTCTACGGTCTACATCGACGGGAATCCATAGGATTTTATGCTGGTATTATGATTCTACGTTGCCCCTATTCGTTGCACGAACTCGCTCCTCCATTTGACCTGGCTCCACTTTTGTCCCCCTTGTCCAAAATATACGGGCCTGCCAGGTAGCAGAGGCCGGCTAACAGAGCCTGGACGAAACACAATCTAAAAGGATAAACAGGAGTGAAGAAAGTTGTGCTGAACGATACGTCGCATGCCTCGATAGACCCGCATTGGTATCAGTGAAACGATACACGCGGATCGAAAGTTGAGTCGATCGAGATGGTAGCGTTCGTGCGCGCGAAACCTACACCGGAAGCGTTATTGTCTGCGTTAGAACGCACTCGGCGAGGATGCGCCCATTGTTTCGACCCGATAACCACTCGACGCTTCTTCGCTCGCAGATCAAGCTGCCGATAATTACGATGGCGTACCGTTTCGTTTCACGTTCCCACGACGAAATTGTTCGACCGTGGGTACGAAACCTCTGCCTTTTTTCTTCTAACGCAAGCGGCCGAGGATACGTTGAAATCGGCATTGAAAAGGACAAAAAAGGTGGTACGCGTTTTCTAAAGGTGTCGACGAACGCGAAGAAACTCGAGCGTTTCTAGCGTAACGTTCCAAAGTAAAAGGAATCTGACAATGATCGTCGACAAAGCGGTGAGAAATATTGTACGTAGCTTTACCAACTACTGTATAAAAGAGGATGTACATAGGAATTTTATAAAAGCGTTCAAAAGCGCTTATTGGCATGTTGCAAGTGCCCTTATAAATGTCAACGCGTTAACTAACAATAATTAAAGTGGAAAGGAACTGGTGAACGCCCACGGGCCCACCAGTCTACAAGCATTATTGACACAGGCTGCAGCGGTGTAGACGAGAGCAGAAACGTCGACCAAGTAACCGCTCGAGCCAACCATCGAGCATAATTATTACAGAGACGCAAACGATCCTAACGAGCTATGGCGTCATCCTCGTCCACGACGTTTGCGTTAAGAAACCGTATTTCTTCTTCAACCGACCACTCTACCGATTCACGAAAGAAACTTTCTTCGTCAACGTTTGCGTTGCTTCAATCGTTCGGGCAAGAATTCATCATGGAAACTAACAAGTCTCGTACCCTCATTTTCCTACATCATTCGATTAAAGAATCAACGTTGAAGCGATACCGCAAAACACGTGTCCTGCATTCCGTGGAAGCGTGTCTGCTCGATGGTTCCGGTATGAGAAGGACTCCGTTAGTCAGACGCGATTCTCTTCAAGATTCCTTCTCGAAGGTGCCTTCTGCACAATATTCTTCTCCAGTTGCACCAATAATAAAAACAGTTCATATCAATTTTCAACGTAACTACAAGTGTGCTTAACGCTTATTAAATATGTACAAAGACAGGGAGTTGACGACTGAAGATGACGACAAATGGCGAAGTGGAAATGGGGATAATTACGTGGGAGGATTTTGTATGCACCTGCCTATTTACCTGAGTTTTTTTCGGTATTCTTGCAGTAATTGTACTTGAAATATAATTGTCGCTCGTGAAAAAAGGATAATAGCTAGCTAAGAGTGATATAGGTGGTGAAGAATTTCGATAATTAACAGGTAGAAAAGCGCAAGTTGCAAGAATCGAGAATGGCTCTCAGTAGCGTCTGAGTGTAGTCTAGCTGCATGACACTGCGTATATTGCACCGGAGAGTACGTAGTACCTACGTACTTATCTGCCTGCATATATCACCGACGTGGCTTAGCTAACGTTACAGGATTTGCTTTCGAATTCTTACGGGACGAGAATGAAAACTGGCGAGACAGATCGACCGAAAGAGTTTCTCAACGAGAGCCACGCAATCGCGATATCTTATCGCACCAACTGAAAAATGTTTACCGATATGATTGCTTGTTAGTAATTCTTCGTCGTTCCCTCGGGTAAAATGCGATAAAGTGGAAACGAAACGCGGATGTTTTCGTAGGAATAAAATTGCATCAAAGATTAACAACTTCCGCGACTAGTTGCGATAAAAAGCGCTCTCTGACAAACGATGGCACCGATAAATGATTCATAGAAAGAGAGAGATAGAAAATCAAAGGATGCTAGAGGCTGCAGGCGAGTCAACGATTCGCAAGAAGCAACCGACATGCGAATAAGATAAGAGCGGCTATCTCGTAGAACGCGAGCAAGATATCAATTTAGAGCTGATGATTTGTTTCCGCCTACGTAGCCTCTTAGTCATAGAGTTCCCCGCTCGAATATCAACCGTGCGTTGAAACTCCACTTTTCAAAATCATCCTCCTTCTCTTCTTTCGCCTTTACTTTCTGTTGCCTGTTGCCTTTACAAATTCCAAATCGCTTATCCCTTAGAGCCCGCGACTGTCCTCGCTTCTTTTTGGGCAGGGCACTGGGCAGAGTTCGAGCGAATCGTAAATTGTCAGTGACAGAGCTTGCGTTGTGTCATTCACGGAAAGTACCCAACGATTTGGAATCTCACAATCAGACACTGTTCGTCCTACGTGTCAAGGTGGGTGGTAGCTTCGTTTCGGACAAATCTCCCTTGAAAATTATTACGATCATCGTCGATTAGATCATCAGAAGTATAAAAACGACGCGACGCACAACGGGAATGACACTATCGTTCAACGACAAAACAGCCCACGGGAAAAGAGAATGGAAAATAGCAACGCGTTCGATTCTATCCGCTCGTTTAAAAGTTAAAACAAACAGCGTGGTATTCGAGCAAGAATTGTTGTTTCTTCTATGCATGTGCATTCGCGATGCATCGCGGTTAGTTAAATTCTAGTCACGCGTTCTCAACTTACTCACACGGTTAGTCATCGTTATCGATATCTACGTGTGTAGAGCGACCAAGTTTCTCGTTGTTTAGCAAATTAAACATCAACAAGTCGATAAGGAAAATTTGCTAGAACATCGCATCGTTGATTACACGAGTTTCTTATCGACTATTAACGATTGTCCGGTTCGTCTCGCGATTTCCGTGTTCGATGCGCACGTAATAAGGAGGAGATTAAAAAATGTTAATCACGCGTCGCAGTGTTATGTATGTACAGACAGCCATTACGCAAGACTCTCGAAATACGCTCATTCAGTTGCAAGAACATGGAAACAATTTTTGTTTTCCTCATTTGCTTTTCATGCACCATTCTCGGAATATTTCCAAGCGTATTACCTAAGCGTTATCGTTCGTGTAGGTACGTAGCGTAAGTAAGCGTATGAAATTGAGCAAATACAAAGAGAGGGAGGGTGCGGGTTTCTACTACGCGAATTACTAACAGAACGACGTTCACGCAAACAAGTGACTCGTTGTTCTAAGAAATTATTACGCGTCTCGTTTCACCTTCGACTCACCTTTGAAACGATCGCGCATTTTCGACATTTTGTTTTCATAATTGATTACGATCGATTCATTTAGAAAATGAAAATGTTTAAAATTGAATTTAAACAAGCGATCCGTCGCGTTGCGCCGTCCTAAGGTTAACCCTTGACGTCAGATTTATGAATGATCATAGATGATGGAAGAAGGTAAAGGTTTCGCTTTCGAACACCAAGGGTAAGCTTTTGATTTGGGAGGATAGTTTGCGCGCAGGATGGATCGATGAAGCAAAGCGGTGGAACGGGTTATCCTGGAAGAGGGGAAGCTGTCGACCCTGCGGCGCGGCGCAGCACGGCCAGGCTGCGATCCTTGCCACGCCATGACGTCATCGTTCGCTATACCGCCAGCTTCTCTTTCAGAATTCACCTAATCCAACACCACCAAAAGAAATTTACTCCGATTCGAATTGCATCTTTCGTGGACGATTTAAACAGTTTGAGGAAGCTCCTTGTTGAGGAGCGAAAAATCACGAAACGCGAGATCGATCATGTCTCGAGAGGTCATAAGAACGATTCGTGTCTGATGCAGTGGAAAAAAGGCGCAAACGAAGCTTCGCGGACAAACGTAGCAGTCTGGTCACGTTCGAGAAACGTGCGTTATCGTCCTCGAAAAATAATAACACGCTCGCCAGGGCCAAACCATACTTTGCGCTTACCTCGTTCACGGATATCATTCCACGAAACTGCGATACTCTGCGTAGGTATACGCAGAGAAGAATTAAAAGCTGCATCTTTGTGCGAGATCATTTTTGTCTTATTCTATAATAGTAAGTAAGTAGGTTTGTAGGAGCGTGGTAACCGCAAGTTCTCAGAAAATTACGCAAATCGGATTCATCTTGAGAACGATTCTTTAGGCGGTCGCGTAACCAGTTTCGCTAGATCCTTGAGAGATAGCGATTCAATGATTTTATGAGTCGTAAGAAAGTCGCGA